TCCTGTATGTTGACAACAGGGCCATGATCCTCATGTGTCTGGAGCCTTGACTAGAGGGCAGAGCGAAGCACATCCAGCTGCGGTACTTCCTCCTGCATGAGCTACAACAGTGCCACCAGGCGCGCGTAGTACACTTGGCCTCTAGTGCCAATGCAGTTGATATCGTTACTAAGGCACTTGCACATAAAGATCATCAGCGGCACTACGTATAGCTTGGTGTAGTTTCAGTAGCTCCTCCCTTGCTAGGACCCTGATTGTGTACTACTCCTTATATTTCCTTGACTAGCCTTGTGGCTCTTGTCCTAGTGGTAGGAATAGTTGTGCCGCCTTGGGTTACTCTTGTTTAGTGTGTACTCTTGCTGACTGGTCTTCGGACCCTTGCCTCACAGGTATTGCCGCCCAGAACTGCGTCTCTCTTGCTCGGCACTGGCCCTTATCTAGCCTACGGGGTGTGTCAACTCATACATATGCATTATATGTAGAAGTTATAGGCTAGATACGGTTGTGTTCTTAGAGGGTACAATACCAACCCTATATCACTCATGTACTGCCTTGTTTCTAGTTATTTTGTTACTACCAGGTACTACTTGAAGGTCTGATTGGACCCTACACAAGCAGCCCCTCGGTATCCTGTACAACATGCTTGCATATGAATCGAAATGTTGCAAAGCTTAGGAAAGACATTTGTTTCGTTTTGCCCTGGTCCAATCAGCGCTGGTCTCTCCTGCCCTGGTCTCTGCAATGGTCTGTCATATGAAATAAAATAAAGCAACGTTCAGACTGTACAGTACAAATGGGCTGCATCTAGGATCAAGTGAAACGAATACTATTGTGCATAAGTCCTACATAGAAAAGCCCCCTCTAGTATCCCAGAGCATCCATTCCCAAACAACAACTGAGAAGATTTCCCGGCACGATACTACGACTCACTAGTTCACCCTGCTGTTATTGCCCATAAGCTCCCAAACTCCCACCCTCTCATGCCTCGTCCACTCATGCCCTACATGGAGTAGCGGGAAAGTGCGACTAGGAAGAGGGGAGGGGAGGTATAAGTACAAATATTGTCCCCTTTAAGAAATGATCTAGCTAGGCTAGAACAAACATATCTAAACTAACTAGATATGTGTATACAGAATATATGTTCGTTGACACACACGACAGAGATTAACAAACCAAGGCAGCACTACTAGTCTGGCCTGTGGTGAAGGTAGCAAGACACCTCAGGGCACCACTACTAGTCTGACCACTAAGACAAGAGGCCACAAGGCTAGTCAACAAGAGTAACAAGACATGCAGGTATATCACAACAAGTACAAGCAAGTATCGTATGACTTAGGATACGTCATGAGAAGACTTGAGCGTCTCCAAGTCGCCAGCCCAAAACGCGTCTGTGTGTCCACTGAGCACCACTGGCTCCCATCCTCCTAGCACAAGCCCCAGTCCTGATGTACTCGCTAGATACTGCAGTACCTTCTTGGCAGCCGACCAGTGGATTGGTCGGTGCCAGCCTGTCGCAACAAAGCGAGCCAAGGGACTGAGTGGGTATGTTAGATCTGGTCGAGTGCAGGTCATCAGGTACATGAGGCACCCCACCAGCTTTGCGTATGGATCACTAGCCTTGACTGGCTCAGCTAGAACAGGAGCAAAGAGCCTCTGATCCACAGGCAGAGGGGTGGGCTGTGCTGAAGAGAACTGGAGACTTGACCTCTGGTGGACACGCTGCACCATATGGGACTAGGAGAGGGCGATCGTGCAAGCGGCACGGTCACGAGAGATCTCCAAGCCCAGATACAGTGGCGGAAACAATTGTCCACATGTTTAGCATATTTTCATATTTTGACGAGCTGTACGCTATAAACATTAAGCCTTAATTCATGGTGGCCATACACGTAGAGAGGAGCAGTTAGAGCACTCACTCAAATCTCCTAAAACCAGAGTAGTATATTTCATGGTCCTTCAAGACGACAACATTTAATAACAGCACATCCGGACAATTTGTACCGGGGACAGGCAGCAAACTGGTTACTAGCAAAACTAGTACCTAGTCAACCGACACTTGGCCTTGATCACCACCTACACCCTCCTAGGCATGTTATCTACGAGGTTAGTGCAAACCTTTACAGGGATCTTCTCGCACTCTTCCTGGACCCACGCTTTTGCATAAGGGGGTGAGCACTAGGAAAATCGCGAAGTATTTGAACGTATGCAAGAGTACTGTGCACGATTTCATGTTGAATGTTATCTCTAAGACTAGCCATGCTGAGGTGTGGCCAAAGATGCCATTAGTCGATTGGTCTCGTCTTATCATGGATCATCTTCATCGCACCGTTGTAGGTAAAAATTACGAGCAGAGTGGCGAAAGATTGCGTATCTGCCACGAAACTTAGGGTAACATAGCACGGTTGACAGTGCATCCTTGCACTATTAGAATCATGCTAGGATCCGTATGTCTCTGAGCGGTGCAGCAGTCGAAGTAGTCGTGACTGGTGGGGAAAAATATCCGGGTTCAGGTCTGGTGAGGAAGAGGGTCACTAACTGGTACATGCAGGTCCGCCTGCAGGACGGTCAACAACTGGTACATGCAGGTCACTGCACCTCCAGAACCACTAGCACCCTGCCTCATAGAAGAGCCATGCGGACCCCTAGGGCACCGACTGCCGTGGAGCCCAACCCCTACGGCCTCCACCATGACCACCACCCCCAGGGCTTGCCAGCCCCCACGGTTACTGCAGCTGCAGGGGCTAGGCGGTCTGGGAGGCGGGTGACAAGGAAGTAGATAGTGGCGAAGAAGGGGGGTGGGGCGAGCGCTAGCTGGGCCTCAGTACTGGCCACAAGCCAGCGGGCCTCGAGGGAGCGCAAATGCTCAACTAAGTCTGCTACAGTGGTGAAGGACGTCAGGTCAGGGTAGAAGAAAGGGAGGAGGAGATGACCAAGAGTGGCAGACGATGGGGTGGAGAACCTAGCGAGGATAGCCAGCCAGAGGGCGTGAGGTGACGCACCACCTATAAAGTGGGAGTGCTCGTCAACCGACAAGCACCTGAGGATGGCGACACGAGCAGTGGCGTCGCGAGACGCCCAGACTGAGTAGGCAGTACGAGCAGCAGCGTGCATAGCTTGCTACGCAGACGTCGTGTAAGCAGCAAGAGCACTCGGGCAGGGAACAGCAGAAAGCTCACCAGTGACGTGGCGTCCAGGGACTCGTGGTCGACGCACTGACTCGTGAGTTGCTGGAGAACTGCCTCCTGCCAGTCGGCGAAACCGACTGCCCGCCCCTCCCCATCCAGGGGCAGAACGAAGACGCTGGGCGACGCTATGCTGGCGGCTGTGGTGGCAGCTGCGGCCGTGAAGACAGAGGCGGCGGAAGCAGGGACAGCTGGGGTAGCTGCTACAGGGGCAGCAGGGACAGGGGCTGCAGTGGGAGCCGGTGGCAGCGACGGCTGCTAGCTAGCAGCGGGGTGGCGACGGCGGTGGGCCAGTAGGGAGCGGGCTAGCGGCGGCGGCTCTGCGAGCTGGCTAGCTAAGGCGGCTGCGCGGCTGCAGGCTAGCCGCGGCAGTGGTGGCAGCAGCGGCTGCAGTGGCAGTGGCTGCTGGCAGCAAGAGCAGCTGCAGTGGCGGCTGCAGCGGGAGAGAGACGGCAGAATCGGCGGCTGCAGCAGCAGTGGCAGCTGCAATGGTGGCATTGGCAGAGGCGGCTGTAAGGGCAGTGGCGGCTGTAAGGGCAGCGGCGGCAGCAGCCGCTGCAAGAGCAGCGGCGGCAGCAGCAGCTGCAAGGGCAGCGGCGGCAGCAGCAGCTGCGAGGACAGCAGCGGCAGAGGCGGCTGTAAGGGCAGCGGCAGCAGCAGCAGCTGCAAGGGCAGCGGCAGCAGCAGCAGCTGTAAGGGCAGGGGCGGCAGCGGCAGCTGCAATGGCAGCGGCGGCAGTGGTGGCTGCAAAGGGCAGCGGCGGCAGCAGCAGCTGCAAGGACAGCGGCGGCAGTTGTGGCTGCAAGGGCAGCGGCTGCAGCGGCGGCTGCAAGGGCAGCGGCGGAAGTGGCGCAGCAAGGCAGCAGCTGCAGCGGCAGCTGCAATGGCAGTAGCGGCAGCGGCGGCTGCAAGGACAGTGGCAGAAGTGGCGCTGCAAGGGCAGCAGCTGTAGTGGCAGATGCAGTGGCAGCTGCAAGGGCAGTAGCGGCAGCAGCAGCTACAAGGGCAGCGGCGGCAGTACCGGCTGCAAGGGCAGCGGCGACAGCGGCAGCTGCAAGGGCAGCGGCGGAAGTGGCGCTGCAAGGGCAGCAGCTGCAGCGGCAGCTGCAAGGGCAGTAGGGGCAGCGGTGGCTGCAAGGGCAGCGGCGGCAGTGGCTGCAGCACCTACAGCAGTGGCAGCGGCGGCAGCGCAGGCTGCTGCAGCGGCAGTGGCGGCAGCGGCAGTGGCTGCAGTGGCAGCGGCGGCTGCAGCGGTTGTGGCAGTGGCAGTGGCTGCAGCGGCAGGTGCAGCAGTAGCGGCGGCAGCGGCAGTGGCACAGGCAGCAGCAGTGGCACAGGCAGCAGCAGTTGCGGCGTTAGCGGCAGCAGCAGTGGCTGCAGTGGCAGTGGCGGCTGCAGTGGTGGCTGCTGTCTGGCGACTAGCTGGCAGCAGCGGCTGGCGGCGAGCTGGCGGACGCTGCTGGTGGCTAGCTGGCTGGCGCTAGTGGCGGCGAGCTGGCTAGCACTGCTGGCGGCGAGCTGGCTAAAGCAGCTGGCTAGCTAGCTGGCTAACATGCTGGCGAGCTGGCTGGCGCGTTTGGCTGGCGTGCTGGCGAGCTGGCTGGCGAGACACGCGAGGGGCGAGCAGAGGCTGGCGGCGGCCAGCAGGCGTGAAACGGAAGGCTATGGGCGGGACTGCAGGCTGGCGCAGGTGGCGTGGGCGAGGCAGGAAGCTAGCTGGCTGGCTAGCTGGTTGGCGAGCGAGGTGGCTAGGTGGCTCGCTGGCTGGCTGGCTGGCGTACGAAACAAGGGCAACGTTAGGGGGGTGGAATTTCATGTCTACAGGGCACGGGATTTGAGAGGGAAACAAGCAAAAAGAGTCTACAGCAACAGAAGCATGAGTAACAGTGGGAAAAAATCTAACCTAGCTCAATACCATGTTCGAGTACGGGGAAAGTGACTCTGAGGGGAGGGGAGATACAAGTACAAATATTGTCTCCTTTAAGAACTGATCTAACTAGGCTATAACATATCTAAACTAACTAGATAGCTGTATACAGAATATATGTTTGTTGACTGCATCCTCCCTCCTCTCATCCCGGTCCCGAGCAGCTACCATCACTGCGGGGGCAGGAAGGAGCGAAGAACAGACTCCAGTGCGCCAATGGTAAATGGCTTGGGCAGAGCCTCTGTGGCGGGGGGGGGGGAGGGAAAGAGTGGGGTGGTTTTGGGGGGGGTTGGGGGGGGGTTTGGGGTGGAGCGAAGAGAGACTAATTAGCAGCCGAAGGAGACTACAGGAGCGGACGACAGGAAAAGACGAACACTAAGAGGATGTGCATGTGCATGTGCATGGTTGGTTGGTACCTGAGAGACCCTCTGCAAGGTGAGCAGCCCTCTGCTTCTCATCGAGGCCTGTGCACTGGATGGACAGTCGAGCATGGGCACGGGCATGGCATAGGGGCATTTGGCATGGTCAGCATGGCATGGCAGCATGGCATGGTGGCAACATGGCATGGCATGGTGGGCATATGGCATGGCGTGGTGGGCATATGGCATGGCGTGGTGGGCATATGGCATGGCGTGGTGGAGAAGCATTTAGTGAGTAGGCCAGGCAATGCTAGGAAGTGACGTGGCTAGCTTCTCTGCAAAACAGAAAAGTCTCAGGGTACAGATGTGGCGATCAGTTACTTACAAGGTCCCGCAGAGCCTGGGCACAGACAGGGCAAGGAGCTTCTTACAAGGCCGACGACAATGAGAGCGCGAGTGGCACCCCGTCGGCGGTGGTCGCTCTGCAGGGCCTGCAGCACTGCAGGGAGGTCCACTCCAGGCATCTGCGGGCGGGGCGGACAGGGGATAGCGCGAACAGGGGGTAGCGTGGACAGGGGGTAGCGTGGAAGGACACAAAAAAAGGGAGACAAAAGAGGAAGGGTAAGGTTTCGTGATCTGCAGATGGCTAGGTTGGTAGGTTGGTAGGCAGGGCCTCATGGGGTTTGGCCATGGGGACTAGGGGCCTAACGAGTGAAACTTGGCTTGTCGATCAAATGGGGCGAGACCAAAGCGAAGTGAGCTTCAGGCAGCTGCAGGCAATGGCATAGGGTTTACGGTTTCGGGAGAAACCACAGGGAAGAAAAAAGAGCAATCACGAAAGACACCCACGTTTACCAGACTACCTGGCGTGACAAATCAATAAGCACCTGAGCGCCAATAAGCACCTGAACCAAGTAAGCACCTGGGTGTTGATAAGCACCCCCTGCTTTTATGAGCAGCTGTGACCAGATAAGCACCCGCGTTCCCATGGGCACGTGCGATTGTATACGCACCTGCGTGTTGATGAGGATGAGGTCGAAGCCCGCCGCCTGGTTGCGCTCCATGGCTCGCACCACCGAGCTCACCCCCTCCACTGCCAGCCCCATGGCCGCACACAGCCGCTCTGCACCCTGCGATCCGCCTGAGGGCACGCAGGAGAGGGGAGAGGGGAGAGGGGAGAGGGGAGAGGGGAGAGGGGAGAGGGAAGAGGGGAGAGGGGAGAGGGGAGAGGGGAGAGGGGAGAGGGGAGAGGGGAGAGGGGAGAGGGGAGAAGGGAGAGGGGAGAGGGGAGAGGGGAGAGGGGAGAGGGGAGAGGAGGACAGGGGCGGAACAGGAAAGTGACTTGTGAGTCAAGAGGCAGAGAGGGGACAGTGGGAGCAGGGGGAAACGCGGGCGAGGGGAACAAGGGGACACGGTGTAACAGCCAGGCTGGGATATCTCAGAACTCGATGAGAAGCAGCAAGACACTAACTCCATTGCAGCCGGCCACGAGAACGTGGCCCTGCAGCAACCCCCCCCCGCGCAGCCCTGCTCTAAAACCCCCCCCTCCCTGCTCCCCCTCCCCCTCTCTCCTCTCCTCCTCCCCTTCCACTTCTCCCCCTTCCACTCCACCCCCGATCTAACAGGAAATAAACAAACCAGCCGGACAGCCAGGCACTCACGGCGTTGCAATCCGCCACGAGTGCGCGGCCCTGCAGCGCGCCCCCCTGTGTGGCCCGCTCGATGGCGCCCTTGCCCTCCTTGAGCGCCTGGTCCGCCGCCTGCTTGTCCTTCTCCTCGCTGTCGTGCGCCGCGCCCCGCAGGTCCGACAGCGCGTGGTCGTTGCCGGGGAGCAGCAGGAGTGCGTCCTCTAATGCCTCCAGGAGAGCCCTGGGACGCACCTGGGGGGAGGAAAGGGAGGGAGGGGAGGGAGAGAGGAGGGGGGAGTGTGGGGAAGTTGGGGATGGGAGGGAGAAGAGGAGAGCGCCGCGCCCCGCAGGTCCGACAGCGCATGGTCGTTGTCGGGGAGGTGGAGCGCGTCCTCTAATGCCTCCAGGAGAGCCCTGGGGCACACCTGGGGGGAAGGCACGACTAGAAAGCGGGAGGGCGGGTGCCAGATTGGGCTGGAGGGGGTGGAGGAAGGGGGGGACAGAAGGGCCAAGGATAACGGAGCACCAAGGACAATGGGGGCATACTTGGGCAGGAATGAGACAGCTAAGGTATTCTTTTAGAATTCTAACAAACACCTGAAGCAAGAGGAACAAGACACATAAAAGAAAAGCCCCTCCCCTCCCTTATGTTCGCTCACGGTGGTCTCCAACACGCCTCAGACCGTCTCATTCTATCTCTCTTTCCAAGTACGCTCCTACATCCCTCCCCTCAACACCTCCCCCCTCACCCCATCCTGTCCTGTCCTGTCCCATCCCCTCCCCTACCCCTTCCCTCCCCTCCACCCCTCACCATTGGTTTCGCCAGCAGCACGGGCGCCTGCCCATGCCAGTCCGCAGCCGCCTCCACTTCCTTCCTGAACCCCGGGTCCCTCGCCACGGTCCGGCTCAGCAGCAGCACCACGCCCACGCGGTCCCTCGCCAGCAGCTGCAGCACCGCCAGCATATCCGGGTCCCCCTGCACCTGCTTCTTTTGAGAGCAGTCCACTACCACTAGGTCGTAGTCTAGAGAGAGGCCGTCGCGGGGGGTTCCGTCCGGGAAGGTTGTGGGGGGGGATTGGCCGGGGAGGTCATGACTGGGGGGAGGGCGTGTGCGGGGAAGAGTGAGAGGAAGGCTTCTTCTGGCGTGCTGCTGCTGGTGCTGTGGGGCACGTGCCACGCGTGCAGCTGCTTGGCTATGGCTGCTGTTGTCACCTGCAAAAAAGGGGGGTAGAGGGGGCGAGTGGGAGAAAGTGGGGGAGAGAGGAGAGGTGGGGAGAAAGCAAGAAGTGGAGGTCGAAAGACGCAATAAGGTTGGTGGTATTGCCTTTCACCTTCTTCGTGCATTCTTACGAACGGCTCCGATAAACGTCACCGCACTTTCCGTACGGCTTGTTTGGCAGACCGCACACACGTATGCACACACTTGCACCTTCACACTCAGCCCTCACAAGCACCTTCCCCACTCAACCCTCCCTCACCTGCAGCGCGCCAACCACGAGCACAGGGGAGTGGCGGAGAGGCTGCTCGATGACGGGGGGGGGGGCACAGGGAATTGCATTGTTGCCCCACATACTCCCACCACACTTGCCAACACACCCATCCACCCCTCACCTGCAGCGCGCCCACCACGAGCACGCGCGACTGCCGGAGCGGCTGCTCGATGACGGGCGGTGCAGAGGGGCGCAGCACCACGGCGCTCTGGAACTCCGGTCGGGTGAGGTCCACGGGGAACTTGACTGCGATGGACGGCACACGGTGCTGCTCCGCCACCAGCGTGATGGCTCCCCCCATCGCCTCCACCAGCTGATATGGGTGGGATGGGGGGCGAAAGGGAACGGGGGGCAGCAAGGGGGGAAGGCAAGGGAAAGGTGCAAGGGGTGAGTGCAAGGGGGTAGCGCAAGGGAGAGGTGGGAAGGCGGGTGTTTTGGAGGGAGCAGAGGGGCGCAGCACCACTGCTGCGCTCTGGAATTCGGGGCGGGTGAGGTCCACACCAGGGTGATGGCTCCCCCCATCGCCTCCACCAGCTGTAAGTAGGAAGGGAGCGGAAGGGGGGAAAGCAAAAAGAGGAAAGCACCAGGGGAAAGGCAAGGGAAAGAGCAAGGGAGGGGGGTACCACAAGGGAGAGAATGCAGGTGCGTCGAGCAGGGCAAAGGGGCAGGTCCATTGTAAACTTAACTGCAACGCAAGCACGCACTGCAACGCAAGCACGCACCATCTTAGCCGCCAGCAGGCCTCCCTGGTTGGCCTCAAAGGCAGCGGAGAGAGCAGCGGGAGCTGCGGGGGACTCCACGGACGCCACGAGCACAATGGACTTGCCGCCCGCTGCTGCTGGTGGCGTCTCCTTGTAGATGCGCAGCCGCACAAAGCCACGCGACGTGCACTGGATGGCCAGGGAGAGCAGCGACACCAGTACCTGGCAAAGTGGGTGGGGTGTGCGTGTGTGAGTGTGGGGGGTGTGGATTGAGTAAGCGGGGAACTCCTTGTAGAGGCGCAGGCGCACAAAGCTGCACGGCATGCACTGGATGGCCAGCAACAGCAGAGACACCAGCACCTGGATGAGTGGGTGTTGGGTGTGCGCGTAAGGTGGAAGTGGGGGGGGGAGGGGAGGTGCTGGTGATTCTTGAGTTGGCCAAAACTCCAGAATAGTAACAATGGAAGGAATCGCAGCAATATTGCTGCCATTCTTGCATATATGCTTGGAAAAGGAACCCGTGTGGGGCCTGTACCTGAAGGGAGCACCTGCATGGAGCACCTGCATGGAGCATCAGCATGCAGTACCTGGAGGGTGCGCGTGGAGTCAGCGAGGATGAAGGGCGGGGCGTCGGGCGATGCGTCCACCACCACCTCCAGCCCCTTGCTCTCCGCTGACGCCGCCATCGCCTCCGCTGCCGCCTCCGCCATCTGGAGGGGGGAGGGAGAGGAGAGGAGGGCGAAGGGCGGAGGGCGAGGGAGGGAGGGAGGAGGAGGAAGTTGAAGAGAATCAGGTGAAGTGGGCTCAACGTGCAGCAGAAGAGGTGCCTTGGCTTCCACTGCCTCTCCGCAATTAGAGCGAAGTCTGCCTGCAAAATGCTGTAAGGAATGCAGGCTTGAGAGGGAGGGACGAACAACGCAGTTTTCCCTCACCAGGACACCGACAGTACGGGCACACCCAAAGCACAATCCCAGAAGATACCACAAAGCGCCATTCTAATGAACCAACGTGTTTGCAGACACCACACATGCTCGACCAAGCACTCGCCTCCAGCCCTCTAGGCCCTTACCCACAGTGGAGCGCACCCACCTCGGCCACAGCAGCCACCAAACACACACACACACACAACCCCCCTCCTCCCCCATTCCCCCCCCGCACACCTCAGCCACGGTAGTGAGTGCCAGCTTGGGCGTCCAGCCGCCTGCCTCAATGATGCTGCTGTCCAGAGCGTCTGCCACAACAGACGCCAGCTGCCGCCCGCTCTCCTCGATCTGATTCACTGCCGCCCGGTGCTCGTCAGTGAGCTCCGGCGCATCCTTGAGCGCCTTGGTGCTCTCCAGCACACTCGTGATTGGCTCCCGAACCTCATGGTCCAGCTTGGCGAACAGGCCTGGAGGGTTTGAGGAAACGAAAGTGAGGCAAGGAGCAGGGGGGTGGAGGATGACGGCTGGAGGAAACCGGTGGCTTGAGAAGAAAGGGCAGCACGCTCATAATGGGCTCCCGCACCTCATGGCTCAGCTTCACCAACAGACCTGGAAGAGTGGGAGGTACGAAGGGGGGAAGGGGGGAGGTGGTGGTGGGGGTGGATGGGGGGAGAAGGGAGAGATAGAGGGAGGGATAGCAAGGCTAACAGAGAAGGGTGACTGATTGCATGCCCCTATCCCACCTAGACATGGTTAAAATGCGATGCGATGCGATATCGCATCGTATTTTGTCATATCGCGCGTGATATCGCAGCGATGCGATAACGCATTGCTGCGATATTCTGTTTCAAAAACTGAAATCGCATATCGCGATTTAGGGTGCGATGTTAAAAAGTATTGCACCCATAAGAACGATATATCGCGCGATGCGATTTAACATCGCATTGCATTAAGGGGTCGGAGGAGAAAAGAAAAACGACAAGTCCGGCTTTCCTACGTGGGCGGAGAATTAGGTGAATGAAGTTTGACGGGAGAATGAGATATCGTGGCCCCTCTGATGTAGAGCGTGTTAGAGAGGGGCAGGGGTTGGATTCTGTACATGCGGAGGGATTTAGTGCGGTTGAAGTGGTGGAAATTGGTTGGAGTTCCAACCAATTGACTTAGTGGGAGTCGAGATTGCAATCAACCCCTTAAATCCCTTTAACCGCACACCACCACATTCCATCCACCACCGCCCATGTCAATTTTTGAACCTTCTAACCATCTCCCCTCCCTCAACCGCACTGCACTCCAAGGTGCAAAAAAAAAACGGTTTCCGTATTAAACGGCCCGTTTTTTACGGTCGTTCTATACGGCAGATTTATGCAAATTCTTCCGTTTTTTTGTTAGATTTTTTTTTTTTTTTTTCACCCCTAGCTTTAAAAAACTGCTGGGAAACAGAGCGGCGACAGCCTACGTGCGTCTAAAACACCATCCTCGTCCTCCTAGACCTGCTTTCATTGTCTTTCTCGCCCTTCCTTCACCCTCCTAGTTGTCCTCCTCCTAGTCCTCCGACTCTACTCCGGCTCTGCTCCTCCTCCTAATTGTCCTCCTCCTCCTTGCCCTAGTTCTCCCCTTCCTTGCTCTAGTCGCCCTCCTCCTCACCCTCCTCGATATAAAGCGAACTTCCGTTTTTTACGGCGGTATGAAAAAAACGACCGTATAGAACGGCCGTTTTTTTGCACCAGTCAGAAAACACCACTTTTGACCGTTTTAATCGTATTAAACGGCCGTTTCATACAATCCCGTTTTATACGGTAAAAAAAAAGTAAAAAACGCCGTTTTTTTGCACCTTGCTGCACTCCTTTTCAACTAGAAATTCCAACCCTTCCTCTCCAAGCTCCTCACAAACACCTCCCAGTCAATTACGCCAACCCCATACAGCCGCGCGCAATTTCCGCACGCCATTACAATCAGAGAACCCTAAATTTTGCTAAGTTCAGGGCCCGCGCTCATGCTCCCCCCCCCTTTTCTGGCGCAATTCCGTGACGCAATATGCGGATGTATGGCGCGCGATATTTCAATATAACATATCGCGTTTTGTCGCGCTGAAAAAACCGCGATAAATGCGCGATATCGCAAAAATCGCGCGATATTATCGCATCACATCGCTGCAATTTTTTTTAATTAAAATAATAATAATAAAAATCGCAATCGCAAAATGCGATAAAACGCGATGCGATGCGATATACCCATGTCTAATCCCACCCTCCATCACTTTCCAACTTCGTTATGATAAAACAAACAGGATATCCCTCTCAGGATATCCCTACCTATGGCATCTCAGGGCCGATATTGGAAAGCAACGATCAAGTACCCACAAGGGAAGAAGACAGATGGGGGGACGGAGAAAGGAAGAAGAATGACAGGGGCAACCCTCTAACTAACCCCAACCCAGCTCCCATCCCTCTGCCCCCCTCCCTTCTCCCTCAGATCGACAAACCCTCACCCTCTCCACCCCTCACTCTCCCCCCCCCCCCCCCCCCCCCCCCCCCCCTCTCACCAGCCTCGGCAGTTCTGAGGCGGGCGTTAGCGCTGTCAGCGGCCACGACAGCAGCGTGCGTCTGCTTCCGGTCCGTCACGTCCGCATGCGTGCCCACAAAGTGCAGCGGCTCGCCGCTCTCCCCTCGCGCCACCACTTGCCCGCGGTGCAGCAGCCAACTGCGAGGGGAGGGAGAGGGGAGGAGAAGTGCGCAGGCAGACGGGCGTGAATGGTGTGAGTGGTCAGGGAAGTCAGTGGGCAAACTGCAGCGGAACCCTGTTTCCCCTCACTCTACCGCGTACCGCTTGCCTGCAGTGCAGCAGCTAACAGGAGGGGTAGAAGGGTGACAAGGAGCGCGCAGCGGCCCACTGAAAAGGGGAGAAAGAGGAGTAGATGCAGCATCTGACTGACTCTCGTCCCCTCCAGCACAACGACCACCACAGCCAACAATGCTCAGACCAGTACGACCCGTCCTTGCAGCGCGGCAGCTGCTTGTGCGCGAAGACGGATCGACTTTAAAATACAACTCCACAACACCCACCACAACACCGGTACGACCCGTCCTTACTGGTACGACCCGTCCTTACCGGTACGACCCGTCCTTGCCGGTACGACCCATCCTTACCTGTACGACCCGTCCTTGCCAGTACGACCCGTCCTTGCTGGTACGATCCGTCCTTACCGGTACGACCCGTCCTTGCAGCGTAGGCGCTGCTCGTGCACGAAGACGGGCGTGCGGCCGTCCAGGTGCGCCTTGAGGTCGATGAACGCCGACGCCGCGTCGTCGGGGTGCAGCAGGCCCCTCCCACGCCTCCACCGTCGCCTCCAGCTCGTCCGGCGAGTAGCTGGTGGGGGGTGGGGGGGGGGTGGGGGGCAGGGGAGGGGTTGGAGGTTTGTGTGGGGGGCAGGACGAGGGGGGGGGGGGGGTGGGGGGGGTAAGCAGAGTGATGCAGTGGACCCTTCCACGCCTGCACTGTCGCATCCAGCTCTGCGCAAAAGATGGCCAGGGGGGAAAGGAAGCAAGCAGGACGGGGGCCAGAGAGTGAGGGAATGGGTACAACAAAAAAGCCGTCAAGCCTTCATTGGTGCACACGGTAATAGCCGCCTCTCTGCCCATACTGCCCTCTCCCAGCCCACCCTACGACTCACTGCCTCATGAAAAAGCTAGCCCTCTAACCCATATGCCCCTCTCGCTCATCCCTGAGCTCTCAACCCATCTCACCCCATCTCACCCCATCTCACCCCATCTCACCCATCTCTCACCCCATCCGCCCCTGCTGCTTACCCGAGCAGCGCCTTCCACTGGTCGCTGAGCTCGAGGGTGTTGTCGCGCACGTTCCAGTCCCACACGCCCAGCTCGCTGCCGTGCAGCGCGTACTTCCACCGCTCCTCGCTCTCCTGCACGCCGTACACACGGCCCATACCCCGCACCCATTACACATATATCCATTATGCACAGCGTTCGAAATGGGCAGGGCAGGAAGGGAGGCAGGAAGGGAGGGATGGGAGTGGGGGCGGGGGGGTTGAGCGGGTTATCGTGTTCCAGCATGCAAGGGCTCCTTGTGAGGCTTACAGGGTTCCATCTCGCACTCGTGAAGCCGGCCCGGCCCGAGCCCGCCTCGGCCCGGTCCAGCCTGTGCAGGTCGGGCCGGGCCGGCCGGAGGCCCGGCCTGTGAACATGCCTAGTCACAGCCCCTCCTCGTGCACGGCAGCATAATGAAGGGCGCAGCAGTGATGGAACCTCTATGGCACGCCGGCGTGTGAGGTGGAGATGCCAGCTCATCAACCCACCCCCTGTCTTCACTCGCTTGCTTGTAGACTTCTTAGTTTAGAAGCTAGATCCGTTGGCATATGCAGTCGGACCTACCATTTTCTTATACGTCCCCTTGCTCATCACCTGCACCCTAAGTTGGATCTAACGTTTACGGTGTTTTACGATTTCGAACGATTACGTAGTTTATTTACGTTACGAACGGTGACGCCGTTTTGGACTGACGTTTACGGTCAGGCTGAAATTTTTCTGGAGCTGCCCCCGAAAAAAAAAAAAAAACAGAAGGGAGTCATAAGGTGACGTACATGAACATGTACATATTGGTTCACTCACACAAGCTCTCACATATAGGGGTACTACTACTATTCCTCCAACTGTCTTTTACTTCTCTTCCTAGTCATCCTCGTTGTCCTCCTCTCCTCCTCCTCCTCCTCCTCCCCCCTCCTCCCTCCTCCTCCTCCTTCCTCCTCTCCCTCCTCCTCCTCCTCCTCCCTCTCCCTCCCCCTCCTCCTCCTCCTCCCTCCTCCTCCTCCTCCTCCTCTCCTCCTCCTCCCTCCTCCTCCTCCTCCTCCTCCCCTCCTCCTCCTCCTCCTCCTCCTCCTCCTCCCCTCCTCCCCCCCCCCCCCCCCCCCCCCCCCCCCCCTCCCCTCCCCTCCTCCTCCCCCCCCCCCCTCCTCCTCCCCCCCCCCCCCCCTCCTCCTCCTCCTCCTCCTCCCTCCTCCTCCTCCTCCTCCTCCTCCTTCCTCCTCCTCCTCCTCCTCCTCCTCCTCCTCCTCCTCCTCCTCCTCAAAGTATGCATCCTCTGGAATGTCGTCGTCGTCAAGCGGCTCGTAGTCATCGTGCTGCTGCTCGTCGATGTTAATCGACGCATGCCCTTCCTTCCGAAAACGCTTCTCAAAATCCTCATGCAACTTGCACACTGTGTGGTAGTTGTGTGTCACGTACACTAGATCCTCGAGGCGCTTAGGACCTAGGCGGTTACGTCGGGTTGTGTGGATGGACTCCCACACCCCCCAATTCGTCTCGCATGCCGAAGCAGACACGCACTGCTTAAGAATCCTGCAAGCCAGCTTGGAGAGGTTGGGACATTGATGACCATTGAACTCCCACCAATGAGTGGGGTCCAATTTACCAGCCTTGATGAGCTCATGCTCGGCACGTGCCTTAGCCTCACCAATGGCGCCTTCCCCCTTCACATAGATGAGAATCTCCTTCTCTACCGTTGTAGCCATCAAAACCCTCGTCCCATCCTTGTCAACAGTGTACTCCCCCTTGTAGTAGTCTGCGATAAACTGCTTGAAGATTCCCGAGCATTCAGCATCCCCCCCCGCTCCAAATATCTTCTCATATTGGTTCGGTGGATATAAAATCCGCCCCGCCACGTGCAATGCACAATTGATGTTCTCGTTCCAGCGGCGACGCACAGCACCCGCAACCCACTGCCGTTCTTTCGCCTTCAAGCAGCTGCATGCCTGCTTGGTGGACTCCTCCAAGTCGAGCATCATCTCATAGATCCTCCCCATAACCTCCTGGTTTCCATCAACTGCACGTAGAAGCATGTAGATTGGCTTCAAAATCTGTACCACCTTCTCAACTCCAGCCCAAAACTTGTCATCCCTGATTGTCTCGCGTGCCTTGGTCATCCGCTCCTTGCCGTGCGCAAAAGCACGCCACCCTGAAGAAAGCACCATTTGATCAAGAACCTTCCGCACATCGAGTAGACGCTGTAGTGCAATATAGTTTGTCCCAAAACGAGTGCCGGCGGGTTTCAGCAACACGAGAGAATTCTGCTCCCTGAAGTGACCAGTGATCCACTGCGCATTCTTCAGAGTGGAGATGAGATCCTGCGCCTTGGTGATGATGCGTGCCGCCCACTTCCGCCCCCCGATGTCTTTCATTAGATTGTTCAGGGTGTGAGCTGCACACCGGATGTACTGCACCTTCGGGTAGGTAGCTTTGATGATGTTGGCCGCACTAATGTTAGGGCTCGCCCCGTCCATTAGCAACCCCACGACATTGCCGGCTCCCACCATAGTGATTGCTCTTTTGAGGTGCTCCGCAATGAAATCGCCTCCCTTTTTCTTCGTTCCGCAGTCCACGCCGAACAAGAAGACCGACGCTGTGGTGTTCACCGCCAAAAAATTCATTTGGGGACGGCTACAAAGATCCGTCCACCCGTCAGTCGCAATGCTCACACCGAAATAGATCCATGATTCCTTCACCGGTTTCAGGGCTGTGTCCGTGCTAGCCTTGCAATCCTGCAGTAGGCGTCCCATGATGAGCTTTCGCCCTGGTGGTGGGAAGCCAATCCCAGCAGCAGACACCTTCCGCAACATGCCCTTGAAAGCGGCGTGCTCGGCGACGTTGGGAGGGATACGACAAACGTGGAAAAAGGTAGCAACCGCCTGTTGCGCGCTTGTCAATGCTGCAGTTTCGGGACGACATTCCTGGAGCGTCAGCTGTCCCCCGGGCCGCTTGCGGGATGTAGAGCCGCCAGCACTGCTACTGGCGATTTCACTTGTTTGCTTGGTGAAAGCGTCCATAGTCCGTTGGGAGGCTATCCTCTTTGCCTCCTGCCCACTCGCTTTCTCCGATACTACCTTACGTAGAGTCTCTTTCGCTTCCGGAGGGGCATTCTTGCATGCGGCAATGTTAGGGTCGTTCCCAAGAATATGCCCCTGCGCTCGACTAACGGTAAGGGACCATTGTTTATTGCAGAATCTACAGGACTTCTTAATAGTTGCATTCGATGCGGAACCTTCAGGCACGAGAAAGTACTTCCACACAGGGTGCTCATTAGTAGTAGACGCCATGGGAAGTTAGGAGGCAGTCGGACGTGAAAGTAGCTTAGGTTGCAGATATCTGTGGCTTCAGGAAACTAATGACGAGGTATTTAGATTCGTCTCAGTCCTCTGGCGTTTGAAGGCGACTTGGCGATTTTGAAAATGGATCAGAAATGCGTGGGTTGTACGCCACGCAATTCTATGCGTAAGTCTCCCTGGAGTGCACGAGAGGTTTGAAATTCCAGTGCGGAATTCGATTCGTTGGAATTCCATCAACTTACTGTTGGCGGAATTCCGCCGTGGCGAAATTCTCGACGAATGGAATGCCCACGCGAAATTTTGTGTGGTTGGAATTTCGTGTACTTCTGGTACACGCCATTCCAAGGACTTGGAATTCCAAAGACTCTGGAGTTCCACGTCGGAATGCGTGTTGGAGGAATTCGGCAGAGGCTTGTCCGGAGGAATGAAACCTCCGCGCGGAATTCCAATGTGGTTGGAATCTCGTGTTCTTATTGGTCCGCGAAATTCCACCGACACGGATTCCAGAATGTAACCAAGAATCGCGGAATTCCACACATTCCACGCAACTACCCCCCTTAGCAACCCATCTCACGCCCTCCCTTGCACAACACGTTCCCCCTCCCCCAATCCCTCTCTCTCGGTTCGCATCTTACCGTTCCTTCCTAACTTTCACCGCGAGCACTACGACTGCTCTCTAAACCTACAAGCTACTAAGTCGCAGCTCACTAACACCCCCTAGCACGACGTATAAATCTGCTAGCTCCCCATCTCGTTGATCTGCCCTAATTCTGAGTTGCATGCTGACTGACCCAAAGATTTCTCTAGAGAACTTTCATCATGAACCAGAAATTTTCTCAGAGATTTTTTTTACCTGCCCGGCGCGGACTAACGCGTTAGTCACCGTTCGTTAGCGAAATCGTAAATGATCGCGTTATATTACGATTACGAAACTCCAGAAATCGTTAGTGCCCAACTAAGCCTGGAATGAGGCCGTACCTGGAATGAAGCCGTACCTGGAATGAGGCCGTACCTGGAATGAAGCCGTACCTGGAATGAGGCCGTACCTGGAATGAGGCCGTACCTGGAATGAGGCCGTACCTGGAAGGAGGCCGTACCTGGAATGAGGCCGTACCTGGAAGGAGGCCGTACCTGGAATGAGGCCGTACCTGGAAGGAGGCGTAGAGCGTCGGCAGGAACGGAAAGTCGATCTTCCCCAGGATGTCGCGCTCGGTGCATGCGCGGTGCACCTTGTTGCGGTTGATCATCACCTCCTTGTCCATCGCCTTCATGGCGAACAGGCGGGTGGTGTCCCGCAGCTCCACCAGGTGCACACTGGTAGGTTGGGTGCGGTGGAAATGGAGGGGAGGGCGCATGTGAGCATGTGAGCATGGGTGCACCACCTTGTTGCGGTTGATCACCACCTCCTTGTCCATTGCCTTCATGGCGAAGAGACGGGTGGTGTCCCGCAGCTCCACCAGGTGCACACTGTTGGAGAAAGAGGGGTGCAAGTGTGGAAGGTGAGAGGGGAAGGGCATGCAAGCATGGCTGCATGGACGGTTGATCACCACCTCCTTGCCCATCGCTTTCATGGCATTCAAACGGTTAGTATCCCTCAGCTGCTCCCCTAGGTGCTCCCCTAGTTGGAACTGCTTTTAGACTCCCAAAGGTTACAGCTGCTCGCTCACCTGCCCGTGTCTCCAGCGCCCAGAGGCTTGATTGGTCGGAAGTGCTTCAAGCTGAGCTTCCCGTCCTTCTTGATTACCTGTCGGGCACGCAAAAAAAAGAACAAACAAGGCAGATTTCCTTACATGTAAGTAATGCTTACTGCCCCCATCAACCTTTTCCCCTCCTGACTTCCCTTGCCAGGCAGGGTCAGCAGTCTTGTGCAGCTTGACTGCCCACTATCGTCACACCTCGTGCACTATCGCCACACCTCGTGCACACCGCATCCCCGCATACGAACGAGACGAGAATAACTACCAACTAGCATGATCAGCGTACTAGCATGGGGTCACCCATCTTGTGCTGCTTGACCGCCCGTCACTGCAACTTGTTCATACCTCCTCTATGCATACGAGAGTAACTACCAACTAGCATGATCAGCGTACCTCCTGAATGGCCTGCCATGCGGGGTCAGCCGTCTTGTGCGGTTTCACTGCCACGGGTGCGGTGTGCACGGCCCACAGGTCCGCAGCAGACTGACAGGAGAGGAGGCGGGGGGGGGAAGAGAGAGGGGAGGGAGGTAAAGAGTTTCATGAGCTCTAGCTGCATGAGCTCTAGCTGCATGAGCTCTAGCTGCATGAGCTCTAGCTGCATCAGCTCTAGCTGCATCAGCTCTAGCTGCCACGCATGCAGTGTGCACGGCCCACAGGTCCGCAGCTGACTGACAGAGGGAAGAGGGGATGGTGCAGAGCAGAACAGACAGCAAGGCGGGAAACAGGAGCTTCAGTTGGCTGATTGCCACAGGTGCGGGGTGCACAGCTGATGAGGGTTTCAGCTGACTAAAAAAGGGCTTCCTAAAGGGAGAGGCGGAGCAGACCAACGAGGAAGGGAATAGGGGAGGGGAATGGGGCGTGAGAACCGGATTCGAGGAGGGCGCGGAAGTGGAAGAAAGGAGGGGGAGGACGGATGAGACAGTGGAAGGAGGGAAGGACGAGAGAGGGTGAAGACGGAAGGGAGAGAAGTGAGAGAGGAGTGGAAAGGAGTGGAAAGGAGTGGAAAGGAGCAGGAAGGAGAGGGAAGAGGAAGGGGGGAAGGGGGGAGGAGGAAGTGGAGAGGAGGAAGGGAGCGAGGAAGAAGATGAGGGAGAGAGGGGGGGGACGAGGAGGGAGGAGGGAGGAGGGAAGGGTCACTCACAGCACCAGGGTCTGCAAGCTCTCTGACGGCTCCCTCCACGTTGTTGGCCGCTTCCAAGACCTGCCGAGGGGGAAAGGCAATGAATGAGAAAGTGAGAGAAATGGAGATGCGATCAATGACATGACAGGTAAGTTGGTTCTTGAGAATTCTCACAAACCAACATAGGACACAGGGACAGGAAGCGAGGGCCAGCGAGCTCTTGAACTGCCCCCTCCACTTTGTTGGTTGCTTAACAAAGATCCCAGAACCCCCTGGGAGTTTTGGTCCCCAGCTAAAACGCCCCCAGATCAAAAACATAAGTTTTTGATCTCGGGGGTTTGGGGATCCTCGCTTTAACCAAAATTGTGGAAACACAAACACTGCAAAGTCAAGTAGTTACAAACAGTGTGGTAACCACGAGGCACTCACAATCTTCTCCCCCTCCACTGCCAGCTTCTCCTGCAACCCGTGGATGGACGCGTCCACGTACTGGGACGCGTCTAGCTGCACCCCGATGAAGTACTGCAGCATGCCCTGTCGAATCGACGGGTAAGATAGAGCAGGAATGCAGGCGAAGAGGGACGGTAAGAGGTGAGGAGGTGCCTTGGAGGAGCCTCAAATGCAAGGGTATGCGTACTGGTTTTGAGTCGACTCAAAAGCTGGTTTTGAGTCGACTCAAAAGCAGCCTCAAATCGAAGGGTATGCGTACTGGGACGCGTCCAGCTGCACTCTGATGGGAGTACTGCTGCATGCCCTGTTGACATGGGAGTGGTTAAGGGGAGAGGGGGGAGGCAGGCAACCAGGGAAGGTTGGAGGTGCCTTAGAGGTACCTTAACCCAAGGGTGTGAAAATAATCGTGTTTTGATGGAGACGTTCCAGTACACGATTATAATTACAGCTACACTGCACCCACCCATCCATCATAACAGAATAACGCACGATCTCAGTGCCAGCCAGCCAGCCAGCCAGCTTGCAGATGGAAGAGACACGTTGGTGGCACACTTGCACACTACCGCACTGGCCTACACCAGCACACCACCCCACACCACCCTGCACCGCACTGCATTGCACCAGCCTACACCAGCACACCACCACCACGCACCTTGTTGTCTCGCACAGCCTGCAGATGGAAGAGATTCGTTAGTGCCACTCTAACCCAGTAACACACTACTGTACCGCCCTGCACCAGCACCACCACACCACCCTACCACCCCACCACCCCACACCACCCCACACCACCACACACCTTGTTATCTCGCACAGCCTGCAGATGGAAGAGATTCCAAAACTGCTTGCCTGCAGCAAAGCACCACAGGGCATGGGGAGAGATGGAGGAAAGAAGAGGAGAGATGAGAACGGCAGGGAGCTAAGGGAGATGGCGGAGCACCAGAAGGGAGGATAAACGTGGAGGGGGAAAGGGGGCGGGGCGGGGGGCGGGGGGACATGAGGAAAAGCCACTGCGCTTCGGTGACCTGACTTGGTTTAATCAAGCGACTGCACCTTTTCCCTTTTAATTAAGCGACTGCACCTGACTCGGTTACTTTCTATACAGGCAACTCTACTCTTCATTTACACCCATTTATTCACCTGACTTGGTGTAGTTGAGCAGCTGCACCGTGATATCCTCCTCCTTCTTGATCGCATCTCGGATCCTCTGCACTGTCTTCGGGTCCGTGTCCGGCCCTTGCAGGAACCTGTAGGGTAGGTGACACATGCAATTAGAAAACCCACACACTGGCTGAGAACCAAGTTACGCCGCGCCTATAAACTCACGGGAAGGGGAAGAGGCAGTGGTGGCATTGGTCTGCCGTGCACTACTGACAGACCCCTCCCACACTGCCACTGGCCCCTTTCACGTCCCACCTCTCCCCTCCCAGCTCTCCCTTGGCCCCCTTCTCATCACAACTCTAGACACACCACCCCGAGTTTCAGCAGCAGCATCTACAGCCTTTCACCTCACCTGCAGTTGTTTTTGAGGCGCCTCAAAAGCATCTACAGCCTGTCACCTCACCTGCAGTTGCGTCCCAGGATCTCCTCTCGGGAGTACTCCGTCAGCTCGAGAAAGTCATCCGATGCAAAGATCTGAACAAGCAGGGGAAAGAGGAGGGAGAGGGGGAGGGAGACAGAGGCGGAGAGTTGGGTCCAGTCAATAAAGGAGACGATGGGAAGCACGGCACCAGGATCTCCTCTCGGGAGTACTCCGTCAGCTCGAGAAAGTCATTCGACGCAAACAGCCGGGAAGGGGGGGGTGGGGGGGGGAGGGATGGGGGGGGGGGGAGAGCACCAGTTAGGCGCCATGACTTGACGTGGCAGCGACTACGTAAAGACCTGCCCAGGCAGGGGGTGGGGGGTGATTCGGACGAGGGAAGGGAGGGGAAAAGAGCAGGAAGAGAGGATTCATATCACTTTTTGAGGCGCCTCAAAAATAGACTAAGTTGTTCAGCATTCTTTAGGCGCCTCAAAAATCATATCACTAAGTTGGTCAGCAAGGGGGGGTCCGTGATCACAAAGTTATTCTGGATTCGCTCCAGCGTGGCCGAGCCCCCTCCTCGCCTCAACTACTGCACACTGCTTCAGCTCAGCTCAGCCACACCCCTCCATCCACTCACAGATCTCACAGGAAACCAACTCACACTAGAGCAAAGGCACATCAACTCACAATGGGGTTCTCGGGCAGCCGCGGGTCCGTGATGACAAAGTTCTTCTGGATTCGCTCCAGCGTGGTGGCTAGGTCCAGCCCTCGCCTCGCCTTGTGATCCCCCTCGTCCTCCTCCTCCACCGCCTCCATCGCCGGCTCCGCCTTCCCCTTCATGCTGCGTGTTGGGGGAGGGGAGAGGGGGAGGGGTGGGGGGGTAAGGGGAGGGGTGGGGGGGTAAGGGGAGGGGTGGGGGGGTAAGGGGAGGGGTGGGGGGGTAAGGGGAGGGGTGGGGGGGTAAGGGGAGGGGTGGGGGGGATCAGTGCCAAGTCCAGGAGAGTACGAGGAAGAAGCCCCCCTCTCGCCTTGGGATCCCCCTCGTCCTCCTCCTCCGCCTCCATCACCGGCTCCGCCTTTGCCTTCATGTGTGGTAAGGGTGGGGGGAGGGGCTTGAGATCATTGAAATAGGCGGAATAGCTGACATAACCTGCTTCAGCGGGCTTATAGAGAACGTCTCAGCCAGCACAGCAACATGTTTCGGTAACTTCAGCCGCACAAGGAAAGCTACTTTCGACCGCGGGGGCATGACCCCGTGCGTGCGCCTCTCCCCCTTCCCCTCTCCGCCTCCGTCCCTCACACCACCACGCTTGCATGCAAGACACGTCACGACCCACACTCTCACCACTCACACCGCTTACACCACTCACACCGCTTACACCACGCACACTGCTTACATCACGCACAGCCTGGCAAGAAAGAGGCGGAATACTCACGACAACATAGACATGAGCCCGGATTTGCGCCCCTTCCCCTCCGCCGCCCCGCCCGCAGCAGCTCCCCCTGACCCCTCCCCCTCCACCTTGGGCAGCTGCATCAGCTTGTCCATTCCGCCCCCCGCCTCACCCGCGCCCCCCCCTTCCGCCAGCTGCTCCAGTAGCGGGTGCGGCTTGTTGCCCACCTCCGCCACTAGCTCAGACACCGTGCTCTCCGCCTCCTCCTTCTGGCGCGCTGCATTGGGGGGGAAAAGAAAGGGGGGGGAAGGAGGGGGGGGGCAGGGGGGGCAAGGGGGGAGTATGGAAAGGAAGAGGTTAGGACAAGGTGAGGAATAAGGAGGGAGGCGGGTGCGGCTTGTTGCCCACCTCCGCCACTAGCTCAGACATCGTGCTCTCCGCCTCCTCCCTTAGCCGCGCTGCATTAGGGTGGGTAGGGGAAGTGCGGGTGGGCGAAAGAAGGATAGTTTTGTGAGGCGGAGTCTTGCTGCCAGTAACCCCCCTCCCCCTCCCGCCAGCTGCCCCCGCAGGGAGTGCGGCTGGGAAATTGGGCCAAGCGCTTGTATCAAGCACCCGCGATTACAGCATTTTTTTATGACGTCGAATCAGACCTGCCAATGCTTGAGGAGTCTATTTTTGAGGCCCCTAAAAAATAGACTCCTCGATAATGACGTCGAATCACACCTGCCAATGCTTGAAACATGGCGTCGACTCCACAAGTCAGAAGACTGTTACTGAGGCCGTACCGTCGCACTTGATAAGCGACTTTTGAGTCAACCCAAAAGCCACCTCGTCGACTCCACGAGTAAAAGGAATGTTATTGAGGCCGTACCGTCGTGTTTCCTAAGAGACGGGAAGAGCGTTGACAGTAAGCGAATAGACAGCAATTTCGTTGCACCGTCGTATTTTACGAGCGAGACGAGCAGCCGTTGATAGCAAGCGAGCCGAGAGCAAGTTCGTTGTACCGTCGTATTTGATGAGCGAGACCGGCAGCGCGTTGGGGCGGGTCTCTTTGTCCTTGGCGCCCTCCGTGTACTTGGTGACCTCCACCTGCATTCTGGAGTGGAAATACAACACACACACACACAGGAAGGAGGGAGGGAGGCGGAGAGCGCGCAATAGTGAGAGTCTTTAACACACCAAGTGTTCTGCTTGTCCTGAGCGCCCTCTGCGCACTTGGTGACCTCCACCTGCATTCTAAAGAGGACATGTAACACAATGGGAGTGACCGTCGTCAGCACTGAGGTGACTTTTGAGTCGACTCAAACGTCAGCACCGAGTGTTCTGCTTGTCCTTAGCGCCATCTGGGCACTTGGTGACCTCAACTGCATCACATTCCCACTATCGTTTTTAACGGGCGACACGGTCAGCGGGTTCCAAAACGGTGGCAGTTGAGCAACTCTCTCGATACAGTCACACTCGATACAGTCACACGTTACGTCATGCTCGATACAGTCAAGCTCGGTACAGTCACGCTTACCCGATAAACTTCACAACTTTCCCACTGTCGTCCTTAACGGGTGACACGGTCAGCAGGTTCCAGAAGGGCGACCCGTCCTTCTTGTAGTTCAGCAGCCGCCCGCACCAGCTCTCCCCCGCCGCCACCGCCGCGCGCAGCTTTGCGACTTCCGCCTTGTCCGTCTCCGCGCCTTGCAGGAAGCGACTGCAGGACGGGGGAAGGGGGACGGGGGGAGGGGGGGAGGGTGGAGTGCGCGTGAGCTTTCACACGCACCGCCTCTCCTCCGCCGTCACCACCGCGCGCAGCTTGGCTGCGCCCTGGAGAGACCGACTGGGCGAAAGAGCCATAAGGTGAGGGGAGAGGGGAAGAGGTGAACGGTAGTTCAGAAGCCGCCCGCACCAGCTCCCGCCGGCTGTTCGGAGACCTCCGAAATAGGTCGTGCGAAACCGCTGGCGTGCTCTCTTAAAGTACGGGCATAAAAGACGCGTGATTGTTGCAGAGCCGAGCAATGCGAACCGACACGACTCATAAGCTGGACACGATCAAGCTGGCATCGAGCTGGCATCGAACTGCCATCGAACTGACATCGAACTGACATTGAGCTGGCATTAAGCTAACATTAAGCGATAATAAGCGGCATTGAGCTGACATTAAGCGACATTTATGGGAATAAGTGTCTACAAGTCGCCGTTCATATGGGAGTAACTGCATATAAAGAGGTGACTTTTGAGTCGACTCAAAAGTCAACTGCATATAAAGAGGTGACTTTTGAGTCGACTCAAAAGTCAACTGCATATAAACCGCCAAGTGTTTGAAGCCACTGAGACACGCAGCACGTATTCCCGATGGCTTCATGTAACCAGACAGGGGCTCGCCGTGCAACCGGCCAGGGGCTCGCCGTAGTCTCTTGCGCCACATACCCGGTCGTGTAACATTGCCGATAGTCCCTTGCGCCGTGTAACCGGTCACGTAATGTCGCCGTCTCTTGCGCCACGTACCCGGTCATGTAACAGAACCCTTCGCTGGCGAACACAACCGGGTTGTCGGGCTCGTTATTAAAATCTCATTAGAGGCACATGCCAGTTCTTGCCAATAGTCTCTTGCGCCGTGTATCCAGCCATCTGGTAGAGCCCCTCGCTGGCGAACATTACAGGGTTGTCGGGCTACTTATTCAGAGCCCCCAATTAAACACGCACCAGTTCTTGCCGATAGTCTCTTGCGCCGTGTAACCAGTCATTTGAGCGTGAGTAAGAAACTTACTACAGGCACATACCAGTTCTTGACAATAGTCTCCTGCGCGGTGTAGCCAGTCATTTGATAGAACCCCTCGCTGGCGAAAATAATTGGGTTGTCGGGCTCGTTAGTAAGAATTCAATTAGAACATACCAGTTATTGCCAATAGTCTCTTGCGCGGTGTAGCCAGTCATTTGATAGAACCCCTCGCTGGCGAACATAATCGGGTTGTCGGGCTTCGTCGCGTCACACATCACGAACGTCTGCTGGAACGCCATCAGCGCGTCTTTAAGCTCCGCCTTGGCACTTAGCACCTTCGCGCCGCCCGCGTCGCCCCCCGCGCCGCCCGGCGGACCAATGCCTAGGGAGTATCGGCGCGCAGTGGGCACACTACCGCCACCGGTCACGCCGGTGTGCGTGGTTCCGGCGCTTAGACCGGCTACGTCTACTTCCGCCATGGCTCTGGAGGAGTCTACCTACGACACGAATACTAAGAGACAAGTAAGGAATACCGAAAAATAAGGAATACCGAAAGCCTAAACTAGTTGCGGCGCACTGACGCTCCCCCAAAGAAAAAGACCTGTAATATCGGTTAGGAAAAAATAAATGAGAGTCCCTCAGGTAGATGATCCCTCCTCCCACGACTTAGGATGGAGGCATGCAATGTTGCTCAGGGAACGGAAACTGAAACCCTCAACGAGAGGATTGTTGAGAAGAAAAAGCGGGTGGAGAAATCGAGGAACTTTGCCAAGCACTTGGAGCCAGGCACATATAGGTCGCGTTTTGTAGGGAGCATTGGAGGGCAGAGCTCAGTTTGCATGGGCGAATCCTCGCGACAGCTGATTACCCTAAACCTCAGAACCCCTCGCCGGTGGACGAATCCTCTCCCGTTACGTGCGCCCCGTTTTGCGACTAACTTCCTCTTGCTGCGACGGGTTCTATTCAGGCCCTAACTTCACAGCTGGGGTCATCTTCAACTTTGTCATAAGAACACGACCTACATGCCGAATGACAGCTTTGGGGGGTTTGGTGTGGGTGAGGTGGTGTTGGGTGGTGGTGCTTCGCCAAGCACACGAAAGGGCGAGTTGAGCCCGGGAAATGCGGGACAGGAGGTGGTTGGGGTACAGCACCAGCAACGAATGGCGGCGGACGGAAGAAGGGGAGTGGGGAGACTGGGGGTTGGGGGGGGGGGAAGGGCGGGAAGGGTGAGGGGAAGAGGGCTTGGTTGGGGGGTGGTGTGGTTGTGCTGTGCCTGACCTGGGGTGGTGGTTGGGGGATATGGGGGAGGAGAAACAATGCGTGGGGGAGGAGAAACAATGCGTGGGGGAATGGCAGGCTACGGCAGCCAGGTAGACAGTTTGTTTGGTCCCTCGCGTGTGTCGACGTCATGGTGGTGGCGTGGCATGTCACTCGGTCCAGGCGTCGTGTCGCGATATGATGGGCTCGTAACGAGTGTTGCGCGGGCGGCGTTGCAGCGCGCCTCGACATTTGGTCTCTGTCTCCTCCGACATCGAAGACGTGCGTGAGTTTGATCCTTTGGATGCTCGAGCGTACTGTAGAAGGCCCCGCATCCAATAGAGTTTCCGATAGCGGATGCCTATTATCGTGGTAGAAGGGTAGAAATCTTCAGCAAATCAATGGGATTGGTTGCGCCACATGGCATAATTTACCTCGTTATACAGAGACTTGTTATTGCTATCTTATTCGATAGTTAAGCCAGAGGGAGACTAATAACATCTCAATCAAGCCACAATGACATACATTAAATTGTAACATCACCTACTACTAGCTCACATGGATATAACACTCCAGGTATACTGCAAAATTCATGCTAAAAAGGGGGGGTGGGTGTTCTATTTCGCGTTTAGGCTATAGCACCCTAGTGTTATATTTGAGGATGAAATTTTTTAAATGTGCATTGTGATCTCTGTGGATTCAGCTATCCAGCCGTCTTGTTTTGGGCTCGATCGGGCATCAAATGTGCGCGATCTGAAGGTTGGAAGTGCGCCAAAGGGTTAAGCCCGTTACAGTGAGCCATGCAGCTGGAAACCAGTAGAGGACCACAGCACGAAACTCTCTCACGTGCGGGACACCTCTGCTGTCACTTGGCAACATCGCGTTGCCTCGGGCGAAACGTTGAACGTGTCGCCCGCCAATACCGTGACGCTCAGGCAAGGGGGCCTCAGCAGAGATATTTCTAGGCGAACCTTTGCGAACAAGCCTCTGTCTGTACCCCTTTCTCTCTCAACCTGTTCTCCCAAACGCATGACGAACACTGGAATCAGCGTTCTCTTCAGCCGTAGAGCAGCTAAAAATGCTAGCACCTCTAGCCATGTTACGCATACCACAGGTTCTCCTTCTAGTCGCGCAGCCTCAGTAGTGCAACCGACCACTACAGGGTGGTTGCACCGTGGCTACGTAGCGGCGGACGATGATACTTACGACGGTATGCCGGAGCTTGGCGGTGACGAGGCGGCAGCCGACGACGAGAACAATGAGGACGCGGACGAAGAGGAGGAGAACGTCGACAAGGCAGCAGCAGCTGCTGCCGCGGCAGCAGGTCCATTCGAGGATGATGATCCGTGGGCTATGCCTGACGTCGCGGTTCCATCCTTCCCGTCGTCCAGCGAGCCGTCAACCGAGCCTGAGTATGTCAATCATGATGCGAGACCACCGTCGCCTCATGCCAGGCTGTCGGGCAACAAGCGGCGATCCATCAGCGCGCGCGAGAAGCTGATGTGGATATCCATGTTCGACGTGCTTCCAGCTCCGTCGCACCGAATGGTCGCACGCATGGCGAAGGAGCAGCAGGTCATGATCTATGAGTGGAGGAAGGCACACGAGCAGCTGAAAGGAGTGGCGCCTAGTCGAAAGCGTCTTCGCGGAGCCGTCCGGAAATCCAAGTCCCCCAACATGGAGCGGGCCGTCTTCAGCCGCTATCTCTGTGCGCGGCTACGCAGTCTCCCTGTGTCAGTGGGGCTGCTCCAGTCCTGGAGCCGCGACTGGATGCGTGACCACTTTTCGATCGTCGACTGGAGGGCGTCGTCGCGGTGGTCGTTTTGTTTCCGCCGTTGATTGGGCCTCACCGTGCGGGTTAAGACGAAGATGGGGCAGAGGCTTCTCGCTAGTAAGCTCCCCCGCCCCTCACTCATGTCTAGTGTTGCATACCCTTTGCACTCTGGCTGGGTCTTAAGATGACTTCTGTGTCTCTTCCTCCTCTTCTGCTTGTCAGATAGCGCGCCCAAATGCGAGCGCTTCTGGCAGATTGTTCGCCAGATGACTGTCAAGCGGCAGATCGCGCCTGAGAACGTAATTAACGGGGATCGAACTCCGTTGTAGCTCGAGATGCCGCTCGAGCGAACCCTCAAGCGTCGCGGCACTCGCACCGTCCACGTCCGTACCGCGGGGTACGAGAAGGAACGGGTGACTGTGATGCCTGCATGCACGGCCACCGGGGAGAAACTGCCGGCCTATGTCGTGTTCAAGTGGAAGAACCCGCCGAACTGCTACACTCCCGCGAGTATGTTCTGTCCCATGATGCGCGTCCATGAATTCGACATGGTCCTTAAAAACCAACGTCGAAATGTCTCGGCAGACAACTAAATACGTGCAAACAACCCCCTGCCCCCCTTCCCTCATTCAGACGTAGTGGTGCGCGCCCAGCCAAAGGGCTGCATGGACGAGCGCCTCGTCCACGACTGGATGAGGAAGGTCGTGGTGCCCTTCCAGTCGCGGCCGTGCGGACCTCGAGCGACCTCGCTCCAGGTGCTGGACTCGTACGAGGGGCACTTAATTTTGACAATGCGGGCTACCTTCTCCCTCTACAAGCTCTTCCCCGCAGTTATCCCCGGTGGCTGCACACCCTACGTATAGCCACTAGACGTCAGCATCAACAAGAGCTTTAAAGCGGGGGTCCGTTCACAGTACAGCAAGTGGTTTGCTGAGGAGGGCATCAACTCCACCACGAAGGCAGATACGTGTTGTTTTGTGCTCTTCCCCTCCTACCATGTGCACTTGTTTTGTGTTGGCTCACTCTATGAACTCTACTAACCTCTGTGTTTATATTGTGCCTTTCAGGGAATCTCAAGAAACGCCTCCGGAACTCATCCTGAAGTGGATCTCTCGTGCCTGGGCGGCCGTCCCAGAGTCGGTCATCACCAAGGCATTCAAGTCCTGTGGCATATCGAATGCCACAGATGGGAGTGAGGATCATCTGATCCTCGCTCACATGCGGGACGGCAATGAAGTGGAGGTACTGGAGGAGGTTGTTCCTGAAGAATCCCCAAACCCCCCTGAGCCGACTGCCGCTGTGCCAGCCTCAGAGCCCCGCAACATTCCAGAGGTGGTCTCAGAGCCTCGAGACGAGGATGCTTGCTCGGAGGACTTCTCAGGATGCGACTCCGACGAGGAGAGTAATGGTGACGCCGAGGTGGAGGGAGAGGAAGAGGAAGGGGAGGAGGAGCTGCCTTGGGAAGATGAGCTGTAGGACCCTGGCACCAAGCAGGGAGGCTGTGGAGGAAGAATCAGCATAGGGGATGCATTCTGTAGACTGTTGGGTGCATTGGTGACTTAGCAGGGTTTAGGGCATAAATGCATCTTGTTGTAGTTGGAAAATCAAGCTTGAAATTGACTATGTGCAAAAACAAAACATAGGCAAAACTAACAGGGGGGGTGCTCTCCTGTAACCCTAAAAAAGGGGGTGTATAATTGGGGATTCTTCAATAGTATACCCTTCCCGGATACAACACCAGGGGGTGCTTAATTTTGGTGGGTGTTATTGTTCAAGTGAAAGAATGACTAGAACAAGGCATACAAGGGAATATAACCTAATGGGTTGTACTCCCTAAGGCACAACCCTATATATATACTATAGAAACAAACAATATATGTTTGACACACCCCCTAGACTAGATAGGGGCAGTGCCCAATGAGAGCGAAACAGCTCAGGGTGGCACTACTAGTCCAGCCTCTGAGGCAGGGGTCTAAAGACCAATCAAACAAGTACAGACAAGACAAGAGCAAGACCAGGGTGGCACTACTAGTCCAACCACTAGGAAGCGGCCATAAGGCCAGTCAAGGTAATCTATATAAAGGTCTGTACACAATCAAGCTCCTAGCAACAGAGAGGCTACAGGAACGAGACCTAGTTGTACACAGTGCCGCTGATGATCTTTAGGTGCAAGCGCCTTAGCAAAGATATCAGCTGTGCTGGCACCTGAGGCCAAGTGTACTACATGAGCCTGGCGATGCTGCTGCAGCTCGCGCAGGAGGTAAGTACCGCGGCTGGATGTGCTTCGCTCTACCCTCAAGTCGTGGCTCCTGACACAGGAGGATCATGGCCTTGTTGTCAGCGTACAGGACCGGGGCAGAGCTAGGCCGCTCACCCAAGTCGGTGAGCAAGAAGGTCAACCAGCGGAGCTCCTATGCCGCCATGGCACCGGCGTAGATCTCAGCCTCACAGCTAGACTGGGCAACAGACGAGGAACGAGTGGACGTCCACCAGATGGCACTTGCACCAAGGCTAAAGGATTAGACCTGTGAGGACCTGAGACTCTCGACGTTGTCTGCCCAAGAAGCGTCTGTGTGCCCGGTAAGGACCACTGGTCTCCGTCCTCCTAGCACTAGCCCCATGCCCGATGTACTTGCTCGATAACGCAAAACCCTCTTAGCTGCCGACAAGTGCTGTGGTCAGTGTCTGCCT